ACGTGAATGAAGCAGAAACGAAAAAAAAAAAGTAACCACGTGAAGAGCCTGCGTGAGGTGAGCCCACGACCCGAACCGCTATTTGACTGGACGAAGCTATAAATAGCTTCCTAGGGTTTCGTGTGATGTTGGTGCAAGAGAGAAAAGGCAGCGGCTGATTTGTGCAAGTTGGGGTTTTTTTCTTTTGGCGGCTGCAGCAGGACGCAGACAACAAAAGGAGCAGTGCTTTGGGAGGCGTGCGGAGTTGAAGCAAAAGACTTGCACAAAAGAAAAATAACTCTATTCTGCTATCTCTTCTAGGGATTTGTGTAGCTGTCTTTTAGGGTTTTGTGCCTCCCCTTTTGAGAGAGATTTTGTGTGAGGGATCTGAGAGTTTGTGTGAGGGTTTAAATTGTGTGATTGTAAACCCAGTTGTATTCTCTCCCTCTAATAGTAGATCTCCACCTCCTTGCCCCGTGGACGTAGGCTATTTGCCGAACCACGTAAAAATTTGTATTCTTGCCGTGATTTGTAATAGCTTGTAGGATCCCTCGACAGGTCAGTCCTAGAACTGATAAGAAGAAAAGCCGATATCTCACTTTGTTGAGATATCCGCTTCAGATTCTTGTTTCCTTGGTGAGACAGGAATTCTTACGATCTAATCTCTTGTTGTGCACCTTGCGCACCGGAGGTGCTGCCGAAATTTTCGCTGCACACAACAAGTGGTATCAGAGCTCCGAGTTAGACTTAGGAGCTTGTTCGAAGGATTCGCTGAAGAATTCCTATTTGAAGAATTATATCGACAACATGGGAGAAACAAGCACATCGGGATCGTCTCTTTCGAAGGCGATACAGAGTCTGAGCATCAATAACACGAAGATTGATGTTCCGAAGTTCGACGGCAAGATCAATTTCGGTTTGTGGAGGTGTCAGGTGATGGACGCCTTGGATGCACAAAATTTGGAGAAGACTCTTGAGTTACAAGAGAAACCCGCTGATATGGAGGACAAGGTTTGGAAGAAAATGAATAGTAGGACTTGTGGAGTTATTCGGTCATGCTTGACGCCGGATCTTATTTATGACGTAATGAACGAGACGTCAGCGAAAAGAATGTGGGAAACACTCAATGAGAAGTATCTGACGAAGAGCATTGAGAATCGGCTTCACATGAAGAAGAGGTTTTACCAATTCAAGATGAAGAGGGGAGTTTCCATTCGGGAGCATGTTAACAACTTCACGAAGCTAATTTCGGATATGGCCAATGTAGATATCATGGTTGAGGATGAAGACAAGGCGATGCTACTATTGTGTTCGTTACCGGAGGATGATTTTGGAACGTTTGTTCTCACTATGATAAATGGAAGAACTACGGTTAGCTACAAGGAGGTGACCTCAGCTTTGGTGAATTATGAGTTGAGGAAGAGTGATGGCGAACCCTCCGAGAAGGCATCGGGAGATGCATTAGCAGTTCGAGGCCGTGGTCCAAACCGTCGTCCAGGTGATCGCTCAAGATCGAAGTCAAGAGGTGGCCATAGAAATATTGGTAGGAATCAATGTCGCTTTTGCAAAGAAGAAGGACATTGGAAGAACGACTGCCCAAAGTTGAAAGATAAAGCCGGGAAGAATAAAGGAAAAGCTGTACAAGCTTCAGAAGTGAATGTTGTCAAGGCTAGTGATGACAATTCAGATACGGATTCTTCAGGCTATTCTTGCTCTGCATTACCGTCAGTTTGTTACGCTGACTCTACGGAGTGGATGATGGATTCTGGTGCTACATACCATATTTGCCCTAGGAGGGATTGGTTCTCCAGCTTTGAGGAGTTGGAAAGAGGGGATGTCGTGCTCATGGGTAATGATCACGTATGCCCTATTGGTGGTATTGGTACAGTACGGATCCGGATGTGTGACGGGGTGACTCGGGAGCTGAAGGAAGTGAGATTCGTTCCTCAATTGACGAAGAATATCATTTCGCTTGGAACTTTGGAGGCAGCTGGCTATAAGGTGATCTTGGAGAATGCAACTCTGAAGGTCACAAAGGGGTCCATGGTGGTGATGCGAGGTGTCAGGGAAAACAAACTTTACTACTTGAAGGGCAAGACAGTAAAAGGGGGTTTGGCAGCTTCGATTACCACAGAGGAAGATACTACCAGATTATGGCACATGAGATTGGGACACACTGGTGATAAGTCCCTGCAGGTATTGGCGAAGCAGGGGCTATTGAAGGGTGCGAAGACCTGCAAGATGGAGCTGTGTGAACATTGCATACTTTGGAAGAAGACAAGAGTGAAATTCGGCACCGCTATTCACAATACCCAAGGTATATTAGACTACATTCACACAGATGTTTGGGGCCCTTCCAAGCACACATCACTTGGTAGGGCCAACTATTTTGTCACTTTCATTAATAACTATTCCAGGAGGAATTGAGTATACCCGATGAAGCATAAATATCAAGTCCTGGATATTTTTGTGGAGTGGAAGAAGAAAGTGGAGCTGCAGATAGGTAGAAAGGTAAAAACTCTTCGTTCGGACAATGGAGGAGAGTATAAGAGTGATCCGTTTCTGCAGTTTTGCCGGGATCACGGCATTAGACCACACTTCACAATACGTGAGACACCGCAACAGAACGGGGTGGCTGAGAGATTGAACCGTACCTTGCTGGAGAAGGTGCGATGTATGATGACGCAGAGTGGATTGTCAAGATCCTTTTGGGCCGAAGCGTTGGTTTATGCGTGCCATCTCGTGAATAGGTTGTCGTGCATTGTGATACAGGGGAAGACTCCGTTGGAGCGTTGGTCTGGTTCGGTAGCTAGTGACTATGAGTCGCTTCAGATATTTGGGTGTCCAGCTTATTACCATGTCAATGATGGTAAATTGAATCCGCGGGTGAAGAAAACAGTCTTTGTGGGATTTAGAGATGGAGTTAAAGGCTTCAAGTTATGGGATCCACAGGACAAGAAGATAGTTA